TACCAGCTGTAATTTAAAAAACATTTTCTGTGGCTCATGCCTATAATCCCAGCACTTTAGGAGACCGAGGCAGGCAGATCACCTGAAGTCAGAAGTTCAAGACCGGCCCGATCAACATGGTGAAACCCTATCTCTACTAAAAATCTAAAATTAGCTGGGCATGATGGTGGACGCCTGTAATCTCAGCTACTCAGGAGGCTGAGACAGACTTGCTTGAACCCAGGAGATGAAAGTTGCAGCGAGCTGACACGGTGCCACTGCACTCCAGCCTGGGCAACAGAGTGAGACTCCATATAAAAAAAAAAAAAAAAAAATGGCTGGGTGTGATGGCCTGCCCCTGTAATCCCAGCTACTTGGGAGGCTGAGGCAGGAGAATCACTTGGACCCAGGAGGTCGAGGTTGCAGTGAGCCAAGATCACACGGCTGCACTCCAGCCTGGGTGACAGAGCAAGACTCTGTCATAAAAGAAAAAAAAAATGCGCCTAGATAGAGCAACAATAACAAAGAACAAAACCCCCAAAACGGTAAGAACAACGGTTTCCAAGACATTTCCTCATTAATTAACTAATTTTTTTTTTTTTTGAGACCAAGTTTCCCTCTTGTTGCTCAGGCTAGAGTGCAGTGGTATGATCTCAGCTCACTGCAACTTCTGCCTCTCAGGTTCAAGCAATTCTCTTGCTTCGGCCTCCTGAGTAGCTGGGATTAGCGGTGCACACCACCACGCCAGACTAATTTTTGTATTTTAGTAGAGACAGGGATTCTTCATGTTGGCCAGGCTGTTCTCCAACTCCTGACCTCAGGTGATCTGCCCCTATGCCCAACTGCAGCTCGCACCTTCTTAAGAACAGTTTCTTTCTGGATTCTTCCTAAGCTTCTGATTTCTAATCCTTCCTAACCCAGGTCACTTCCCCCAACCCCAGCCCTCCATTCTGCCTCTCTTTCTTAGGAGATGGAGGTTGCAGTGAGCCAAGATTGCACCACTGCCCTACAGCCTGGGCAACAGAATGAGACTCCATCTCAAAAAAAAAAAAAAAAAAAAAGGTATAAATCAACACTGTTTTAACTACATGTTATAAAGACATTATCTTAATTTTATGGATTTTCTTTGTTTTGCTTCATCTCACTTAGCAGTTTTGAACACTTCAGTTTCCTTATTAGAGTTCTAGAAATTGTTTTTTAGTTTATTGATTTTTATTTTTATTTTTGAGATAGTGTCTCAATCTGTCACCCAGGCTGAAGGACAATGGCACAATTTTGGCTCACTGCAACCTCTGGCTCCCAGGTTCAAGCATTTGTCATGCTTTGGCCTCCCCAGCAGCTAGGATTACAGGCATGCATCACCATGCCCGGCTAAGTTTTGTATTTTTAGTAGAGACGGGGTTTCATCGTGTCAGCCAGACTTGTCTCAAACTCCTGACCACAAGTAACCTGCCCGCCTTGGCCTCCCAAAGCGCTGGAATTACAGGCATGAGCCACTGTGCCTGGGCCTTTGATTTTTTTAAAATTTATTTTTAACGTATTGAAGGGGTGTACATGTGAGTTTCTGACATGACTATATCACATAGTGCTGAAGTCTGGGTAGTTCATTGTTGTGAGTTATCAGAAACCTGTGTTCAAGAGGACATGGGAGAGTTTTTTCCATGAAAAGCAAATTTGGAGGCCAGGCATGGTGGCTCATGGCTGTAATCCCAGAGCTTTGGGAGGCTGAGGTGGGTGGTGGATCATGACGGCAGGAATTTGAGACCAGCTTGGCCAACATGGTGAAACCCTGTCTCAACTGCCACCAATTAGCTGGGTGTGGTGGTGGGTGCCTATAGCCCCAGCTACTTGGGAGGCTGAGGCAGGAAAATCACTCGAACCTAGAAGGCAGAGGTTACAGTAAGCAGCGATGGTGCCACTGCATACAGCATAGGTGACAGAGCGAGATTCCATCTTAAAAAAAAAAAAAAAGAAAATTTGGACTGTTGCTGATTACAGATATTTTTAGAGAAGAATTTAAAACAGTAAATGTGGATGATGGAATTCATAGTTATGATGAAAATCTGCTAAATGTTTCCAATCCACAAGGAAATTTAGTTAGTAGTCTTATGTGCAGCATTTTAAGAGAGTAACCAGTATCCTGACTGACAGCATCACATCAGGACCACCAGACTTTTATAAATTTCATATCATCCTCCAAATACATTATTAACATTTTTTGTTGTTCTTTTTTGAGATGGAGTCTTGTTCTGTTGCCAGGCTACAGTGCAATGGCACAATCTCAGCTCACTGCAACCTCCACATCCTGGGTTCAAGAAATTCTCCTCTCTCAGTCTCCTGAGTAGCTGGGACTACAGGCATATGCCACCATGCCAAGATAATTTTTGTACTTTTTTTGTTTTTATGATGGATTTTCACTCTTTTTGCCCAGGCTGGAGTGCAATGGTTGTGATCTCAGGCCACTGCAACCTCCGCCTCTTGGGATCAAGTGATTCTCCTGTTTCAACTTCTTGAGTATCTGGGATTACAGGTGCCTGATACCACACCTGGCTAATTTTTGTATTGTGAGTAGAGGTGGGGTTTCATCATTTTGGTCAGGCTGGTCTTGAACTCCTGATCTCAGTAGATCCACCTGTCTCCATCTCCCAACATGCTGGGATTACAGGCATGAGTGACCATGCCTAGACATCAATAACATGTTTATACAAATATAACTTTGGCAGATATGTAGCATAACAATCAAAATTACAAATCGTAACATATTCAATTTTCATAAATGTATATAATTTTTGGAACATGCATATCAATAACATACTCATAAATATAACTGAGATGAGATCTAATGTCACCACATTTGACAATGCCCTCCCACACAGCATCACCACATTTGACAGTGACCACCCATACAATCTACCAACTAAATTGAATCATTTCACATCTTTACAAGATGAGAAATACATTCTTTAGACTCCCTGAGGGACCCAGCTGAAAAATTCCAAGGTTAATTTTAAGCCAAAAAGACTTGATTTAGGATTTTGATGCTGGAGAAACCTGTCAAAGATGTCAAGTTTGAAAACACTTGATCAAAACAAAATCACAGGTCACTATTAGAAGAATATTCATTTAACCAGAGACTTCAAAAGCAATACAGAAAGTTCCATGAATATAAAACCTTAACTCTTTATATATATATATATATATATATATGTGTGTGTGTGTGTGTGTGTGTGTGTGTGTATGTGTTTGTGTATGTGTGTATGTGTGTGTGTGTGTGTACAGAGTCTTTCTCTGTTGCCAGGCTGGAGTGCAGTGGCATGACCTCAGCTCACTGCAACCTCTGCATCCCTGGTTCAAGCAATTCTCCTTTCTTAGCTTCCCGAGTAGTTAGGGCCACAGGCATGTACCACCATGCCCAGCTAATTTTTGTATTTTTAGTAAAGATGCGGTTTCACCAATTTGGCCAGGATGGTCTCAATCTCTTGACCTCCTGATTCACCTACCTCAGCCTCCCAAAGTGTAGGGATTACAGGCACGAGCCACCACACCCAGTGAAACCTCAACCCCTTTAAAGCTCAGTCTTGCTTAGTATTCAAAAAGGGTACTTGAATTTCATCAGACAAAGGAAGTGTACAGGGTTATGGGTGTACACACATAATGAAATTGGACATATCTCCATTGGCCACATGATTATACATTAGAATGGCATCTTTAGTGACCAGAATGCCAGTGTTCTAGAAGGCATAGGAGGCACTCTTGGACTTGAGACAAGAAGATTGTTGTGTAGAAATTTCATTGATTGTGTTAAAATTATTCTCCCTGGGCCGGAGAACACACAGCATGGCCTTTAGAATGAGATGGGCTTTGATTGGATGCAAGGTCTCAACACTTACTAGCTGAGTCACATTAGACAAAGCGCTTCACCATTCTGAGACTCAGTCTTTTTGTTTGTTTTTTGAAATGGAGTTTTGCTCTTGTTGCCCAGGCTGGAGTGCAATGGCATGATCTCAGCTCACTGCAAACTCCACCTCCCAGGTTTAAGTGATTCTCCTGCCTCAGCCTCTTGAGTAGCCGGAATTACAGGGATGGACCACCACGCCCGGCCAATTTTGTATTTTTAGTAGATACAAGGTTTCTCCTTGTTGGTCAGGATGGTCTCTAACTCCTGACCTCAGGTGATCCGCCCACCTCAGCCTCCTAAAGTGCTGGGATTACAGGCATGAGCCATCATGCCCGGCCTAAATAACATGTTTTTAAAAGTCATATTATCCTACAATATCCATTTCTCTTGTATATTTAGGAAATTGAGTTTTTTTTCCTAAAACATGCTGACATATGGGAAATAGGATGTAAAATGTGCACGAATGTTTTAGACACTGTTTGAGGTTTCCAAGAGATTTTGTGCTGGTGAGGCTGCTTGCTACAAGCTTCCAAAGCTCTGGGAGGACGTAGTATTCATCCTCCCTCAGCAGAGGCTGTGAGGAGAGAAGCCTTGGCAAGCCTCTGAGTTTTGGCCTTTTAGCATAGAGTGTTCAGGTGTTTATATTTGAACCCATGGCACAGAGAGGTCATGGGTCTCTGGCTTTCTGTGACCTTTGCCTTCTTTGCCAAAAGAAAATGTGATCCTTCAAAGCAAGAAACTTGAGGGCATGTGTTACCCCCGCCCTGGCATCTGCCCAGAGCTTGAGAAGGAAAGAACAATGGTCCACCAGCTACTTCACAGGGCTGGCATGGGCAGTCACTGCCCTGTGTGGATCACCCAGCTGTGTTGGGCAACCTAAACCCCTTCTGCGGGAATGCGAGGAGGAAAATACAAAGGTCTTTACATGAGCCCTGAGAAGGCAGATGCAGCAGAAACCTCCAGGAGGCAACTACCCAGTCTTGTACCTATGGTGGAGAGCATACTGGTGATCATGTGTACTTACACTCTAGAGTCACCAGGTGGCACTATGACCTCATCTGTGGCTCTGAAAAGGATGATTTGGAAGGAATTCATCACAGCTAATATTTAACAAGAATGGGAAAAAATTTTTGCAGTTTACCTATCTGACAAAAGCTGATATACAGAATTTACAAAGAACTAAAACAGATTTACAAGAAAAAAACAAACAAGCCCATTCAAAAGTGGGCAAAGGATATGAACAGATACTTTACAAAAGAAGACATATATAAGGCCAACAAACATATGAAAAAAAGGTCATCATCACTGATCATCAGAGAAATGCAAATCAAAACTACATTGAGATACCATCTCACGCCAGTCAGAATGGCGATCATTAAAAAATCTAGAGACAACAGATGATGGAGAGGATGTGGAGAAATAGGAACACTTTTACACTGTTGGTGGGAGTGTCAATTAGTTCAACCATTGTGGAAGACAGTGTGGTGATTCCTCAAGGACCTAGAAATAGAAATTCCATTTGACCCAGCAATCCCATTACTGGGTATATATCCAAAGGATTATAAATCGTTCTACTATAAGGACACGTGCACATGAATGTTCATTGCGGCACTGTTTACAATAGCAAAGACCTGGAACCAGCCCAAATGCCCATCGATGATAGACTGTACAGGGAAAATGTGGCATATATACACCATGGAATATTATGCAGCCATCAAAAACGATGAGTTTGGGTCCTTTGTAGGGACATGGATGAACCTGGAAACCATTATTCTCAGCAAACTGACAGAAGAACAGAAGATCAAACACCACATGTTCTCACTCATAGGCGGGTGTTGAACAATGAGAACACATGGACACAGGGAGGGGAGCATTACACACTGGGGTCAGTTGGGGGGAAATAGGGGAGGGAGGGTGGGGGGTGGGGAGCTGGGGGGAGATAGCAAGGGGAGAGATGCCAGATGTAGGTGATGGGGAGAAAGGCAGCAAATCACACTGCCACGTGTGTACCTATGCAACAATCTTATATGTTCTTCACATGTACCCCAAAACCTAAAATGCAATAAAATAAATAAATGGGGGAAAAAAAACAAAACCAAACCCCTACTGTTTGCCAAATCACTCACCCCTGGCAACAACCTAAGGAGCTGGGGATGCTTGTTATATGTCTTTTATAGAGAAGGACACGGAGACATAAAGACATGAATTATCTTGCCCACATCACTCAGCTAATAAGTGATGGAGGCCAAATAGGACCTAACAGTGTGGCTGTGGGGCTCACATGCATTGATTGAACAAGTGTGTATGGAGTAGCTGCCATGTACAAGGCCTTGTGTGATTAAATAGCTATGATTAATAATATGACAATGACAAATCACTGACACTTTGTAGACATAAGATTTTCTCTTTTGTAGGTTTCAGGCATAGAACTGTATATCTGATAATAGTGAAATTGATCCCACTAGTTATGACAGAAATGATGATATATTTAAATGAGTTGGGTGTTTTAGAATCCTTGACAGAAACTGAATGAGGAATGAAATTGTTTCCATTTCACACAAAAGGAAACTGAGGTGAAGAGCAGTAAATTAATTTTGCATGGCATGAAGTAGAAATTCAAAGTATAGGAATTTGAACTTGACCACTACAGACTCAAGCATCACCTTGTTTTTCCACTCATTCAAGAAACTTTTTTAAACATTTATTTATCTAATAGATTGTCACTCATCATGAGCTTCTGTTCCTATTCTGCAGGAGGTGAAGCCGTCTATTGTCCTGACCCCACAGTTCCTGTCCCATGACCAAGGCCAGCTCACCAAGTAGCTGCAGCAGCACTTAAAGTCTGTGCCGTCCCCCATGTGAGTACCTGAGGAAGGTGAGTGAGTGCAGACAGACTGGGCCCGGCACCCTTGAACAGTGTCTGGGTCTCTGCTGCCCCACGTCTCACAGGGGGCCATGCTGGGGGAAGCATGGGCAATCATGGTACTGGCTTTTTCCGCCTTTTTCCTTTCATGCAAGTAGCTTAGGGATGGGGTAGAGTACTTGACTTATTTGGATAAAAACCACTATCTCGGTCAGAAACTCAAAAAGAATAATTGTTGTCATGTTAACATAAAGAAAACCAGGCAAGTGCCCAGCAGTACTTCAAAAGGCTATATATTATCCTGAAAAATTTAGACAAGTGTTGTGGCTCATGCCTGTAACCCCAGCACTTTGGGAGGCTGAGTCAAGTGGATCACCTGAGGTCAGGAGTTCAAGACCAGCCTGACCAACGTGGAGAAAACTCCTCTCTACTAAAAACACAAAAGTAGCTGGGCAAGGTGTCACATGGCTGTAGTCTCAGCTACTTGGGAGGCCGAGGCAGGAGAATCGCTTGGACCTGGGAGTCAGAGGTTGAAGTGAGCAGAGATAGCACCACAGTACTCCAGCCTGGGTGACAGAGGGAGACTCTGTCTTTAAAAAAAAAAAAAAAAAAATATTTATTATAAAAAATATATATAAACACACACACACACATACATATATATATATATATATATACACACACACATATATAGAAAATTTAAACAGAAATCAAAATCAGCAGCTTCTAAACTATTTTAACATGATTCATAATTAGAAATACATTTTATATTATATATATAGTTCTATATTTTTGAAAATAATAAAATCACATTTATTTTACAACGTGTAATACTTTTTTTTATTCTCCTTCATTTGTTTTAAATGCTCTGTGCAATCTACAAAAAGTCCAATAGTAATAATTAAATTATTCAATAAACATTATCTTGTCATTTAAAATGATTTCATAAATGATCACTTGTTTTTTAGATTATATGTGTGTGTATATTTATATGTACACGATCTTGGCCCACTGCAGCCCTCACCTCCCAGGTTCAAGTGTTTCTTTTGCTTCAGCCTCCCAAGTAGCTGGGACTACAGGTGCATGCCACCACACTTGGCTAATTTTTGTATTTTTAGTAGAGAGAGGGGTTTCACCATATTGGCCAGATTGGTCTCAAACTTCTGATTTTGTGATCCACCCACCTTGGCCACCCAAAGTTCTGGGAGTACAGGCATGAGCCATCATGATGGGCCCAAGATGAACAATTTTTAGCAATATCCTATTAAGAGAAAAACGCTGGATATGAAAGAATATTCATAGTTTTATCATATCTGTTTAAATAAAGATTGAAAGAATACATATACAAATAAGTTTACATTTTTTTGGTAATACTTTGCTGCACTGTCTGAATATTGACAATCAATATGCATTATGAAGTTCCATGGCTAATATCAAGTACTCAATGTGTGTGCTAGGACCTGGGCTCAATGTTCTACATGCATTTTTATTTCATTTCATTCCCTCCACAACCTGAAATAGTATAACGAACCCATTTTACAGAGTTGAAACCGAGGCTCAGAGACTGAAAGTTAAATGCCTGAGGTTGCAGTTAATAAGAGGCAGAGCTGGAACTAAAACTTACATGTGTCTTACAACCAGTTTATGTTCTGACGGTAGGCTAGTTGGCTTCACAGAGCATGGAATAGATGGTATATGCCTGCTAGGATGAACCAGGTATCATTGTAGGTAATAAACAGCCCCCCAAAATGGAAATTTACAACACTGAAGGCTCTTTGTCTGCTCATGCTGCACATCCTCCACGGTGCTCCTGGGCCCTGTGCTCCACATCCCCTCATCTGCCACCAAAATAAAAGAGCAGCCTCTATATGGGACCTATCAGTGGCTCTAAGAGATGAGGGAAAGGGTGGCCAGTCTCAATGGCTTCCAACTCATTTGCCTCGAGGTGACACACTTCACTTCCACTCACATTTCCTGAGTCAAAGCAAATCCCATAATTGCCTCCATCTTCAAGGGGCCCAGAGGAGAATCACTTGGGGCCACCATATGGTGTCAGACTGTGTGGGAGACTGTGGGGGGGCAGAGGAGGAGAGTGGGGGAATTGATGGGAAATGACAGCAGGACAGGTTCACCCTCAGTTTTGCTTTATCCTCAACCAGGTAGAGTTTGTCCCAGAGCTGCACAAAATCAGCAGCAGCATGATCAAACAGAGTAAACATCAGAAAAAGCAGTTTGTTCAGATGTGATCAGTAGAGAACTCAGAATCAGCTGAGTGACATTGAGTTAGTAAATCTCTGACTGCTTCAGTTACCTTGTATGATAGTGGTGAAAATGGGAGAATTGAGAGAGTTGATTTGGAAGTATATCAGGAGTATGAACATTCAACATTTTGGTTCCTTTAAGTTAAATCCAGGCACTGTCTTTCCTGCAAGTCTCCTGTTTCTTTCAGATTGCACAGGTGAGAGTGCTCAGATTAGGTCTGGAGGTCATAAAATATTGGCCCCCACACCAATAGTTTCCCTGTGTCGTGCATGCATTCTGTGCATTTTCCTGTGCTAAACACGGTCCCAAAACATTGTGGGGCCTGATTCTTCCTCCTTGTTCCAGTGGCCCTGGGTGACTTAAGTGCCCATTCAATGACCAGGACACAGAGATCTTAGAGTGATGCTCTGTGAGGCCCCAGGTGCCAGCCACTGCCCTGTCAAAGTGTAAGGCAAGGGACAGGGCATCATCTGTGGGGATGGGGTCAGCCAAGCTTTGTGACTCTACTTGGTGGACAGATGATCCTACACTTGCCACCTGCGATGGATCCACTGCCTATGTGGCTGTTTGTCCTGCTGATGTTCCAGTGGCTGCCCCAGCATCCCTGCCTAGGCCCAGTGCCACTGAAGACAGACCTGGCCCCTGGGGACCCAGGAGTCCTACAGGACTCACTCAGCTGTCCCCAGGAGTCCCCAGACTCTCATTCTTATCAAGGACCTAGGAGCCCTATCCCCTGGCCCTCCCTCAACAGCCATAAATGATTTGCCGCTGTTATCATCATCACTGCCTTTAGTGGCCAAGGACCTTCCAAGGTGCCAGCTCTGGAAGGAAAGATGATGTTCTTGGTAGGTGATGACATTTGATACACAGGTGCTCAACAGGTTGCTTCCTCCTATCCTCAGACAGTCTTTGACACAGCCATTGACACTCACACTGAGTGGAAGGAAAGCAGCCCTGGGTCACACAGCTGGTCTCGAATCTAAGGTGCCTTGCTGTGCCTCCATGAGGGACCTGCCAGCAAGGGAGATCAACCCTGGCTATGGGGAGCCTTTCCTGGGCTGCATGAATCACCTCCCCTGTTTGAGGCCCCAAATTCTGCTCACATGTCCTTCCTTGCCCTGTCTCTGCTTGGGCTATAATCAAGGTGACCCCAGCAACCCTTCATGGACATGAGGGTACTCTCTGCCATTCACTTTTGGGCTAATCTGACTTCAACACCCACTTACTTGGTCTCTCCTTTTACAACCAAGACAACCCAAATCTGGGGCTCTTTATGCAGGTGACAGCATATGAATAGAATTGAATGCCATTAGTTGTGTTATCCCTGTTTCGTTTTTGTTTTCCTTGTGTCTCAGGGTTATTTTTCTATTTATGGTAAAGGCATTGGTTTTCCATTTGTAGCATGAATAGAATATTTGCAGTTTACAATAACTTTATGTCACAGTAAATTGTAGGGAGATTTAAAGAAACAGTTTTCAGCTGCAAGAGGCCTGAGTATGTTTGAGCACTCTGTGTGATTAGGCAGAAGCAGGCTTTTGGAAGGTTTAGCTGAGGATGGGTCCAGGAAAGATAATGGAGAGTGGGGGTCTGACCTGGTCACCAGATCCCTGGGTCCTGCTCACCAGCTTGGCACTCCCTAGCCATCACTCATGATGCTGCCAATCCCTCTGGGTATCGTGGCCAAATCCCCCAGGAGAGAGGCTGATGAACTTTGTCTCTTGAAATGCACAGATTATTTGGACATCACTTGGAGCTCAACCATGAGAGTCAACTTGGTTTTATCCCCCTCATTAGGGCTCAGAATTAAAAGTCCACCTTCACAGGCAGTAAGATAATATAGATAAGTGACACCATCACCCTGTTTCAGATGTTAACATGTATAGGTGTGTTAGGGGTGATTTGAGACCACACAACTTTGTGCCACACAGTGGAATTCCTGGGCCAGAGGGAGACATTTGATTGCCATGTTATGATCTTCTCGCTGAGTGTAAAGGCAGCCTTGCTTGACTTTGGATTCTTTCTTCTGTTGATATCTTATAAGGGCACTTTGAATTTCCAAGTATATAATAATTTTTGGTTAGCTTTTACTCATTGACTTCTAGCACAATTCTGTGATCAGAAACCTGCTGTGTGATTGGATTTGTCTGAAATATTGAGATTTGCTTGATGAATAAAATAAGTTGGGTTAATTTTTGTAAATGTGCCATGCATGCCTAAAATCAGTGTAGCTCCAACATTTGTTCCTGAGATACAGGATGATGGATGGATGGCCCCATGGATGTAATGGAGATGGTTTACTACTGGGACCTTCTGCATCCTTCTGATGTTTTGTTGCTTAGAATATGAATGGCTGAGAGGGGGCTGTGGAGCTCCCACTCTGCTTGCGTGTGAATTTCTTCCTGCTGTCCTGCCATCATTTGTTTCTTATGTTTTGCAGCCAAGACTGACCATAAGAAACCCTGTAAGCTCAGGAAGAAAGGAGCCACCCAGAAGCAGGGACAGGGAGCTGGTGGAGAAGACCAGAAATCAGGTCTACTAAGGTTCCAGAGAGCCTTTGGAGGCGCGTGGGGGGCTGAGATGGGGTACGGGCATTGGAGGACACAGATTCTCTGTGGAATATCTGCTGTTAGGTACCACATTCCAGGGCCAGGGATTGGTGGAGAGGGAGTATAAAGCCCCAGGGTTGCTTAGGCAACTACCAGATAGGAAAAGGTGTGGTGGAAACCAGAGCCCTTGCCTCCCTCTAATTGCTCCTGAGCCTCCTGCTTTCTAGCCCCGTGTGTCCTGTGGCTTCCCTGATAGACTTTCTTCATGAATTGTAGCTAAACCTCCCACTCACCCTTGAAGACTTAGTTTGAACCGGATCCTTTCCCAGACCCCTCCTCTAGGTGTCCAACATCCCCCCTTCCCCTCCCTCCCATACCCTCCCATCCCCCTCTGCAACTCAGATCCCACCCCATCCCCATCCCCTTCCCTCCCCAGTCCTAAGCCACCCCCACCTCTGTCCTGGCCACCTCAGGGTGCCCTGAGAGCACCAGGACATGTGGGTGCCGTGGCTGCTCTTTTGGCTCCTCCTTGGGTTTTCCAACCATCAATCCACCCATAGGAGTAGGCTCTGGACCCGTGGGGTTTCTTCTTTGTTATTGGGCTGTGTCACATGGTGAATTACACAGTGCAGGCCTGTAATTTCAGTGCTTTAGGGGGTTAAGGTGGGCAGATCACCTGAGTCCAGGAATTTAAGATTACCCTGGACATCAGAGACGAACCCCCTCTCTATAAAAGATTCCAAAAAAGATTAGTTGGACGCCTACTGCACTCTTGTCTCAAACGGAATAAACCAAAACAAAGTGAAATATCATTTGAGTTTTGTGTCATCTGGTTTGATGACTTTTAGGAACTTCTGAGTCATCCATGTCTTCTGCTCTTGTGGGCTGCCTCTAGGGAGTCTGTGTCCAGTCAGTGTGATAGGAGCTGAGAAGCCCATCAGATGGAGAGGAAAGGGCTGCACCTGCTGGGAGGTTTGCAATATGGGAGTCACTAGGAGTGACATGACCAGGAAGTGAATGAGGACTGTATTGTCCTTTGTTTTGTAAAATGTGTGTGGTGCAGATCATTGATTGACCCAAGGGAGAAAGGGTCTTCAAGTCCTTATGTTATCCAAATATAAAGAAATGACAGGCCAGGTGTGGTGGCTAATGCCTGTAATTGGAAGTCTGAGGCTGGCAGATCAGTTGAGGTCAGAAGTTTCAGACCAGCCTGACCAACATGGTGAAACCCTGTCTCTACTAAAAATATGCAAAATAGCCAGGCATGGTGGCAGTCGCTGGCAATCCCAGCTACTCAGAAGGCTGAGGCAAGAGACTGGCTTGAACCCAGGTGGTGGAGGTTGCAGTGAACCAAGATTGCACCACTGCACTCTAGCCTGACTGACTATTCAGGACACTCAAAAAAAAAAAAAAAAGATTATTTTTGTGATTATTATTATTATTTTTTGAGACAAAGTCTCCTTCTTCTCTCCCAGGCTGGAGGGCAATGGTAGGATTTTGGCTCACTGCAAACTCTGCCTCCCTCATTCAAGTGATTCTTCTGTCTCAGCCTCCTGAGTAGCTGGGATTCCAGGTTCCTGCCACCACACCTGACTAGTTTTTATATTTTTGGTAGAGACGAGGTTTCACTATGTTGGCCAGCCTGGTCTGGAACTCCTGACCTCAGGTGATCTCCTAGCCTCAGCCTCCCAAAGTGCTGGGATTACAGGCATGAGCCACCATGCCTGGCCTTTTTGTGATTTTTTTTAGATCATCAGCTATTGTTAGAGTTAATGTATTTTATGTGTGGCCTAAGACAAGTTTCTTTCTTTTAATATTGTCCAGGAAAGTCAAAAAAGAGGATATGCCTGCTTTACATCAAAAAAAAAAAAAAAAAAAAAAAAAAAACCCCCTTTTTTAAAAAAAAAAAAAAAAAAAAAAAAAAAGACACTCTACATTTGGAATACCTAAAAACACTACCAGCCATGCAAAAACCATGAGACTGGTAACTTCCAATCTTTTTTCAAGCAGTGGAATACTCTGGTGATATCTGAGGGGAGTGGTTACCTCTTGGAGAAGGTTGATGGTTTCTAAAGATTATCATTTTTTACTGAAATATTGTAAATGTCACTGACCTTTTCATTATTTCAACTATTAGTATTCCAGGCCATCAGTTTTCCACCTGATTATTTGTATCCTGGGCATAACTTTCTTGGCATTCTGTGGAAGCTTATCACTCTTGTGTTTCTGGGCATTTCTACAGTTGGCCTTTTCCTCCAAAAAATTAGCTTGTGTGAGAGTATACTAACTTCCTGTAAAGCTGTACTTGTAATCACACATAAGAAAAAATTATTTAAAACAATTAATGGTTCTGGACTTTATTGTGAATATTGGGTTTTGCCAAAAACATCAGGGAAATGATTTATTAGCATAAGAATTATAAAAATATCTGCTATTTACATTACAAAAATTATATAAGTTGGTGTTTAATAGAATGTCAACAGAGCTTTGGGTCAAAAATAAGTTTTTCTTTTTTTTTCCTTTATGCTCTTTATCAGAAATGGAGTATGAAGTTTTGACGCCTAAATGAGAAATTCTGTCTAAACTTTTCTCCTTTCTAATTCTATTGTATGGCTGGAAGGAAAGCTTTTGCTTTACTCTCTAAAGGTTCACTGCAGAAATGAACCAACAGAGGGCTTAACAGGAGAAGAAAAACATAGAACAGGCACAAACATGGGAGCCCACCAAAAAATGAGACTGCAAGAAGGGTCAGATGGCTGATGCTTAATGAGTGCTGTCTTTTCAGGAGAGAGGGAGATAGATGGAGATGGAGGCAGTGTTTAGGGGAAATGAAAGAGCCCAGGGAACAGTCCTTCTGTTTTCCACACATAAATTGCATCACACACACAAACACACACACACACACACACACACACACACACACACAGTCATGCTTACCTACCTCTCAGAAAATTGCACCGATTCAACAAGAACAAATAGTAATTAATGTGTTCCTTAACGGCTAGTGAATAATAGTATTAACTAAAACAAAAACAAGTATTATTTTTAAACCCACTATTGCCCCCCACCAAATATTTAAATCATGAAGTCTAAACTGACAGAAGAGCAAATTAATACAGTCCTTTGGGAGGGAAATCTGGTGATACATATTAGAAACCAATCCTGTTATTTGTTGCTTTTAAAAAAAAATGACAAAAAAGTAATTATAAAATGCTGTTTTATAAATCATAGTATATTCTTACAATGAATACTATGTAAAAACTTTAAAAATGAGATGCCTGTGTGAGAACTAGCTTTGAAGGAGACACATGGTATTTACAAATTATTATATTGAATAATACCTAGTATTTGTGGAACACCTATGTACTAGGGCTGTGCTGACTGATTGCACACCTGCTATTTAATTTTATAATAACCTTACAAGGGAGGTGGCATACTAAATTCATTTAACAAATAAAATGGAAGCAGAGACTTAAGTTTATTATCTAGCATCACTGAAGGAGAACATAGCAGAATCAGGATTTAAAACCATGAAAGCTTGATTTCAGAACCTATACTTCCACTCACTGTGCCAGTGTGTCATAAAGTATACATACTTTTGAATAAATCATTATTTAACATGCATGAATGTTATATATTTCTTAATATACAGCAATTTACATAAAACATCAATGTTATGTATTTATGTAATATATGTCAATGTATGAGTTCACAGCTCTTATCACTAAGGATTTTTGGATTTCTTTAGTAAATTTTAAGAAGACTGTTATGAATTAACAGTACAGGTGATACAAATATATGGCAAAAGTAACAAGGAGGCACGTCAATGACTGAAAGTTTGGAGAACAAAACTCTCGCCTTCTCAAAAGGCACTTTCTTCTTTATATGCTGCAATATTGTATGAAATTTCCATAACAATTACATATGACCTCAAAGAGGTTTTTCAAAAAAATACCCCCCCAAAACATTTTTCAAATAAAACAAGAGTAAAGGCACTATCTTAATGTGTACTCTCAGAAACTAGAAACATCCTTCTTATCTAACACAAGAGTTAAGTACAGTTATCAACTTGATTAAATAGTCCTTAATCATTACATAAATGACAATAAGAAAAAGAGACCATACTATAATGCCAATTGTTACAAGAGCCTGAGTATACACGTGACATATAGCATGATAAAGTCTCTTCAGACCCAAAATTAAAGGTGAAAAGAGAAATGAAAACAGGGAGAGATAATATGAGGCTTTTCCCTCAACTAATTTACTCTAATACTATCTTTGTAATACATGCGTTTAGAACAAAACAGTGCTACAATGACCATCTAGGTTAAACCGTTATCAGAGAGGCAACACCAGAATAAACAGATACAGTGTGCTCCTTGATGGAAAGACCTGTTAGCGAGAACTGACTTCTTCCCATATTTATCTATAAATTTAGCACAATTCTAATCATAATCTCAATGGGATTTGTCTTAAAACTCATCAAAATAATTCTAAAATTCACCAAAAACAGTAAATTCATGGGAATCGCTAAGAAAAATTTGAAAACGAGCATATTTGCCCTATCAGATATCAACCTCTGTAAAGAGCCACAGGGGAGGGCAGGTAATGGAATAAACACAGACAGACCTGTCACTGGAACAGAGCTGAGAATCCAGAAAGAGGCCTTATGGATGCAGGAAGACACAAAAGTAAATTCCATACAAAGTAAATGAGCTCAGTGTGAAAAAAAATTTTTCATATAAAATATATGAAAAAATTTTAAAGATAATCTTGGGATGGTAGATATTTTGCTAAATAACAATTTTAAAAAGCTATAAAGAAGGGAAAGATTTTGAAGTTGAATAATAAAGAATTTTTAAAATGAAAGATCTGACCACATAAGTTAAAAACTTTTATATAAAGACACAATAAATAAAATTAAAAAGACAAGTAACAAATGAGGAGAAAATATGTGTAACACATATAACAAACGATTAACCATTGTGATATCTAAATAATTCCTATAAGGCAGTAAGAAGAAAAGATAACCCAGAAGGGGGGAAAATGGGCAAAGATATGAACAGGTAATATCCTGAAGACTAATGTAACACCTAGTAAACTACAATCTAGGGGGCTAAGGAAGTAATGTTTTATAAAACTAACAAATTACACATACTTACATGATATCAGAATGGGAAATGCCCTTCTAAACTTGAATCTACAGATAAAACGACCAAGAAAAATCTTTAAAATTTTCATAGACTTAAAAAGACTTTGGACTAGCATTTGTCTAAATCAATGTGAAAAATTCTAAGGTTTATCTAAACAGGAGAAGAAACACAGTTAATAAAAACGTGAAAACGTCATTATCAAACAAGGTGATTATAAATTAAAAAAAAAACTTTTTTAAAATGTGGAAACCATTAAACCTCACTGATGCTTGGGAAAAATGCGAATCAAAACAATGTCATGACAGTTTTCATATATCATATTGGCAAATATATAAAAAGTAAGAATGCCCAATATTTGCAAGGGCACAGGGCACCCAATATTCTCTTACATTACTGGTGGAATTTTTCACAACATGGGAAAATAGTTGTGATTTTTTGTTTGTTTGTTTTTTTCTTGAGACAGAGTCTCACTCTGTCACCCATGCTGGAGTACAACGGCACAATCTTTGCTCACTGCAACCTCCACATCCCTGGTTCAAGCAATTCTCCTGCCTCAGCCTCCCAAGGAGCTGGGATTAATTTTTGTATTTTAGTAGAGACAGGGTTTCACTATGTTGGCCAGGGTGGTCTCAAACTCCTGACCTCAGATGATCCACCCACCTCAACCACCCAAAGTGCTGGGATTATGGCCACCGTGCCCAGCTGTGATATGTTAAGTGATGAAAAGACATATTAAACGTAAAGTAAGATCTCAACCATATTCTAAAATAATAATAACAATGTTTTATGAGCACCTTTATGCCAGGGACCAGGACTGTTTACCTGTACTAGTGCACTTCATATTCACAATAACCCTATGAGTTAACACTACTAGTACCTTCATTTTATGGAGGAAGAAACAGACAAGAGATCAAATGACAGAGCCAAGACTTCAACTCAGGTTAACTCTAGAGTCTCAGACCTTAACCACTAGCACAATGTACAGAAATTCATAAAAATCTTTAAACACAGTGGAGTTGAGCATACTGTCTACTTTAATTCCCTATTTTGTCATAGATTTTCTACTACTGTACTTCTCAAATACAATGATTTTTAAAAGGATCAATAATCACAGGACAGCAATAGTGTCCCTGGAATTCCCCTAGAGATGCTAACTACAAAATAAAACTTATAAATCATAATCCAATAGCTTTTTTATGGTTTTTTTTGTTTGTTTTTTGTATTTTTGTATTTTTATTTTTTTGGAAATCTTCCATCAGAGATTTGTCCTCACTGGAATAGACACTCCGGATATGGGTAATCCAATAGCTTTAAATATTTTAGTACAAGAACATTTTTCTAAATGAATTTCACGTGGAGCTATAACATAAGAAACAGATTAAAGCAGTATTTTATTCTGTCAGTGTATTTTAAAGCTCAAATGTGGCAGAGTACGGTGGCTCATGCCTGTCATCACAGCACTTTGGGAGGCTGAGGTGGGCAGATCATTTGAGGTCAGGAGTTTGAGACCAGCCTGAACAACATGGTAAACCATGTCTCTACTAAAAATACACACACACACACACACACACACACACACACACACACACACACACACACACAGAGTTAGCTGGGCATGGTGGCATATACCTGTTGTCCCACCTACTCAGGAGGCTGAGGCAGGAGAATCACTTGAAGCTGGGAGGAAGTTGCAGTGAGCTGAGATTGGGCCACTGCATTCCACCCTTGGCCACAGAGTGAGACTCCGACTCAAAAACAAAACAAAACAAAAACAAAAAAATCTCTAATGTAGAACATGTATAATGAGAACAATAAAACTCTTCTGATGAACACAATCTTTAAATTAGGGATGATTAGGCAGTCTTATGTCAAATTTGTTTTGTTTTGATTGCATGGTATCAAGAAAAATCTGATTCACAAAGACAAGCAGATGATAAAAATTGTTTTGCAAATGATAAAGAATGTTTTCTGTGTGTTTTTAAAATAGTACATTAATGCTAAGGATTTAATTACACCTGTTGAGAAGTTTTAAAAGTAGAACATTTCTAAATTAATTCTGTAATAATGTTAAGGAATGTGAATACTCGGTAGTTGTAAACTTTTTGGTAAAAAATAAAACTTTACAATATGTACTAATGCTGATATATGCATAAGGCAGTCACATCATTGCATAATGCAGTTAGTTCTGATAGTACTGAATGTGTTCATATAATGTTACAGGGGTAAACAAGCACAACCTAAAGTTTTAAAATATCTACATCAAACTACAGTCTTACTAATCAATAGGATTTTTATACTTTCTGAAGAGAAAAAGAAAAAAAAAACAGTTTTAATTAAAAAAATAAAATGGCTTTTTATTTTCCCCCTGAGACAGTCTTGCTCTGTTTTCCAGGCTGGAGTGCAGTGGCATGATCTCAGCTTACTGCAAACTCCACCTCTCAGGTTCAAGCGATTTTACTGCCTCAGCCTCCCAGCAGTAGCTGGGACTACAGGTATGTGCCACCACACCCAGCTAACTTTTGTATTTTTAATACAGAAGAGATTTCACCATGTTGGCCAGGATAGTCTCAAACTCTTGACCTTGTGATCCACTTACCTTGGCCTCCCAAACTGCTGGGATTACAGGCATAAGCCACCGCACCCAGCCTAATACATAAAATAGCATTTTAAGTTTCAAGTCTATACACAAAGTGAGAAACTCTATTCCAAGGATTGTTGTCCTGGGTTATAGACAATTTACATTTTCTTCCTTTTTCTTATTTTTCCTGAAATACTCTAAATGCATTGCTTTTTTTGTTTGTTTTGGCTTTGCTTTTTATTTTGAGACAGAATTTTGCTCTGTTGCCTAGGCTGGAGTGTAGTGCCGCAATCTCAGCTCACTGCAACCTTTGCATTCCAGGTTCAAAGCAATTTTCATGCCTCAGCCTCCCAGGTGGCTGAGACTACAGGTGCACACCCCACCATGCCTGGCTAATTTTTGCATTTTTAGTAAAGACAGGGTTTCACCATGTTGGCGAGGCTGGCCTTAAACTACTGACCTCAGGTAATCCACCTGCCTCAGTCTCCCAAAGTGCTGGGATTACACGTGTGAGCCACCATGCCTGGCCAACTTTTTATGTTAAAAATACTATAATTATAAACCACAGAAATTTACAAAAAGAACACAGGGAGGTCTCAAGTATGCTTGCCCAAAGTCCTCCAATGTTGTAACTTATGTGACTCTAGTATGCTGTCACCATCGGGAAACTGACCTTGGTACAATCCCAAGTTTATTCAGGTTTCAACAGTTTTGTGTGTAAAATGGGACTTGAGAACACTAGGATTTGTATGCAGTACATGTGTGTGTGGTTGTATGAAATTTTATCACATTTGCAGCTTTGTATAATCACACTTGAGACAGAGAACTGTTCCATCCCTACACAGCTCCCTCATGCTACCACTTTACAACCACACCACCCCTCACCTCTGATTCTGAACTCCTAGCAACCACTAAATATGTTCCCCATGTCTGCAGTCTTGTTATTTCAATAATGTTACATAAATGCAATCATACAGTATGTAACCTTTAACTCTCTCATTTATTTATTTATTTAGCTTTTGAAATGGAATCTTGCTCTGTCAACCATGCTCGTGTGCAGTAATGCAGCCTTGGTTCACTGCAATCTCTACCTCCTGAGTTCAAGTGATTCTCCCACCTCAGCCTCTCCAGTAGCTGGAATTACAGGTGTGCACCACCATGCCTGGCTAGTTTTTGTATTTTTTGTAGAGACATGGTTTTATCATGTTTGTCAGGTTGGCCTTGAACTCCTGACTTCAGGTGATTCATCCACCTTGGCCTCAGAAAGTGCTGGGATTACAGGTGTGAGACACCATGCCCAGGCTTCACTCAGTATAACTCTCTTGAGGTATCCTGGTGGTACAAATCAGTTGTCCTCATATATTAAAATTTAGCATGATATGCACTTGAGTATATATACACATTTATAACATTTTAAAGTTTAAAACATTAAAATGTGAATCAAAGGTATATGAAATCCCTGTTTCACTGACACAGAACAAGGATTCTGAGATACAAATTTTGAAAACTGGTACTCTAATACATGTCTAGCACAATCCATTACAGGTTGAGTATTCCTTATCTGAACGCTTTGGAGCAGAAATCTTTGGATTTGGAATTTTTTCAGATTTGGGAATATGTGCATTATATACTGGTTGACCATCCCAAATCTGAAAGTGCAAAATCCAAAATGTTCCAAAATCCCAAAACTGTGAGTGCCAATATGACACTCAAATGAAATGCTCACCAGGGAATTTCAGAGTTTGGATTTTCAGATTAGGGATCCTCAGCCTGTATAAGCACTTTATAGAAGAAAGGCCCAGGGCTCAGTGCTATGTCTTACCAGTGTTTACAAGAGTACATGCTTTACAAGAACACCTGGTTTTGCTCTTTTTATGGCCAAGTTCTGGATTCCGGTTCTTTCCCAACCCAGTTGAGTATGTTACATTCAAATATGACCACTTGCTCTTCTTCTCAAATGACCACAGTTTGCTACCCTTTCAAGTTCTTCCTAATGATTGAGAAAATGAACTCCTCTTAAATTTCCAGATCCGTGTGGTCCTTTAGCTAGCACCACACCTCAAGTCCAATTCTCCCGTCTCTGTGTACAGCAGGTCCACGGGACAAGGCCTCCCTCAGAAAGAGCTACCCCAACCTAGGACAGATTCAAACAAACTCTTCTCCCTCTCCCTCCCTCCAGGTACCTAGATTCCCTATCTCCTTCCTCTGTAGGCTAACCAGCTAAGTCTTCTGGATAGCTCACCCCCACTGCCTATCTGTTAGCTAACTGGGTGTGACAAACCAAGTCCTCACATCTTTTGATTTAGAAAGCAAACACTCCAGGAACTTACTTCTCAAATACCAATACCTTCACAGTAATTTCCCTGCCTTTCCAAAGAGTGCTCTAAAAAGGTAAAAGCTATAATAAAACTCTACATACTTCTGTCATACAGATACCAAAAATGGCAGGATTTTTTTTTTTTTTTTTTGCAATTTTAAGAATCTTGTTGATATGGTTATCACTCTAACCATGTTAGATCTAAATGAAATTTGAAGTAGTGGCAAAAGGCTGGTTGTGGTGGCTCACAACTGTAATCCCAGCACTTTGGAAGGCCAAGGTGGGAGGATCGCTTGAGACCAGCCCAGGCAACAAAGTGAGACCCTGCCACTACAAAAAATAGAAAAAATGAGCTAGGCATGGTGGGGTGTGCACCTGTAGACCCAGCTACTTGGGAAGCTGAGGTGGGGGGATTACTTGCTGTGGAGAGGTTGATGCTGCAGTAAGCCATGATTGCACCACTGCACTCAGCCTAGGGAGAGAGTGAGACAGTGTCTGAAAAAAATAAAGAAAGGAAAGAAAAGAGAAAAAGAAAGGAAGGGAGAGAAGTGATGGAAGGGAAAGCAGGAAAAAGGAAAGGAGAGGAGGGGAGGGAAGGAAAGGAAAGGAAAGGAGAAGGAAGGACAGAGAGAGGGAGGGAAAGGAAGAAAAAAGAAAGAAGGGAAGACAGAAAGACAGAAAGAGTAGTGGTAAAGAGCTTGGACTCTTGAGCCAGACTGCCTGGGTTAGAATCAGGCCTCTGCCACTGTACTACCTGGATCAAGTGTCAGTCAGTTTGTGTGGCTCAGTTTACTCATCTGCAAAATGGTGATAAAAGCTACCTGCCTCATGGGACGGTTGTGAGACTTTAATAATATATGTAAAGCATTTAGACCACTGCCTAGCACATAGTATTATCTGTAAGTATTAACATTTATCTCTACTACAGTCCAGATTCACTTCTTTGTGATATTTCTCTATTTCTCTTGGACTCTTTTCAGTTCAACCTGCTTCTAAAATTTCCATACCAAGAAACAATGACAATATTAGGAATTTTATTTCTTAAATTCATCCTGGCTAGTCAAAACGAATTCTCTTTTATGTCCTAGCAGTTACTAACATTCCACCGCATATAAATGCTAGCATTTAAAGTACAGGAGTAATGGCACAAATGCCAAGCCAAAGCAGGCTGTTTATCAGAACACATACGGGACACTCCCCTGTTAAAAAAAAGAAAAGGAGGAATAATACGGTCATTTAGATGTTTATCTATGTGTCAAATGGCTCTGAAAAGTTTCACAGCAGCCTACTGACAGAACTGTCTGTTTAGGGGAAGGGATGTGACGACTTTTCACCATACACGCCTTGTTATCTTTCAAACCTGAAGCAGCAAATGCATCACCTAGACAAGATTTAATTTTTAAAATGGGGGTGCAGAGGTGACTCTAAATAAGTACGCTGGAAGCCAGGTATCAAGTCTCAATTTGCTACTACCTGTGTTATCTTGGGCAAGTTACTTAACCTCTGAGTCTCAGACAAAGCAAGGAGCAATAAATACTTCTAAGTTCTTTTTTTTTTTTTTCTTTTTGAGACACAGTTTTGCTCTTGATGTGCCGGCTGGAGTACAATGGTGCCATCTCAGCTCACTGCGGCCTTCACCTCCTGGGTTCAAGTGATTCTCCTGCCTCAGTCTCCTGAGTAGCTACTTGGGAGGGTGAGGCAGGCAGAATGGCTTGAGCTGGGGAGGTGGAGGTTGTGTTGAGCTGAGATCCGGCCACTGCACTCCAGCCTGGGCAACAGAGAAAGAGTCCATCTCAAAAAAAAAAAAGTACAAAAATCAGCCAGGCATGGTGGTACATGCCTGTAATCCCAGCTATTTGGGAGGCTGAGGCAGGAGAATTTCTTGAACCCAGAGTTGGAGGTTGCAGTAAGCTGAGATCATGCCACTGCATTCCAGCCTGTAGGACAGAGTGAGAGTCCATCTAAAACAAAAAATAATAAATAAATAATTTTTATTTGCAATTCTGAGTTTGGCAAGAAGAGTAAACTGTGGCCCAGTGACTGGCACACACATTTTAGTGTTCACAGTGTGCTCTCTCGGAAACTGTTTTAGCCAAAATTGTGTTATCATCTCAGGCCGCTCACTTTATTCAAAAAACTTGACTTAAAATGACTATTTATGGAAATCAGCTTCAACTCTACCCTCAAAAGACAAAAGCACTGTAGTTCTAAAAATATTCAAAACAAGGTCATTAAGTTTATTAAAAAGCAATGAAGGTCCCGGCACCATGTCTCACACCTGTAATACCAGCACTTTGAGAGGCTGAGGCAGAAGGATCACTTGAGGCCAGGAGTTTGAGACCAGCCTGGGCAACATGGTGAGACCCTTTCTCTACAAAATAAGTTTAAAAATTAGCTGAGCATGGTGGTGTGTGCCTGTTGTCCCAGCTATTCCAGAGGTTGGAATTGGAGGATGACTTGAGGCCAGGAGTTTGAGGTTGCAGTGATCCTGGATTGTACCACTGCACCCCAGCCTGGGTGACAGGGAGAGATTTCACCACTTAAAAAAAAAAATAAAGAAAGCAAGGAAGAACTTCCACTCCAAATACTCTGACATCATTTAGGGCAATTACAAGATTCTAGAAATCATGGAAAACCTACCTTGAGTATCTTTTTGGATGTATGCTTATAAGAAAACAAATCACTTTAATTAACTGATGGAAAGACTAAGAGGAAAGGATTCTAGGGGACATGTGGTTTTATTTCCCTATTAAATTTAATTAATTAATTAATTAATTAAGATAGAGTCTCACTCTGTTGCTCAGGCTGGAGAGCAGTGGTGCAATCTCAGCTCACTGCAACCTCCACCTCCCAGGTTCAAGAGATTTTCCTGCCTCAGCCTCCCAAGTAGTTGAGATTACAGGCACCTGCCACCGTTCCTGGCTAATTTTTTTACTTTTAGTAGACACAGGGTTTCACCATATTGGCCAGGAAGGTCTTGATCTCTTGACCTCATGATCTGCTCACATTGGCCTCCCAAAGTGCTGGGATTACAGGCGTGAGCAACGGTGCCTGGCTCCCTAATTTTAAACATGAGAAAGTTGGGTACCAAAGAGTGAAAGTAACTCACCAGGTAGGAGAGAAGAGCCTCTCTTACCACAGGGGGGTCTCTCATTGGAAAACCGGCACATCCTGTTCCCTGCCTGAATTCTCCAAGATCTTAGCCCAACATAGGATAGAAATGTCTCCACTTTAGGGGACAACCAGTTTGTCCTTTGCCTTTTACACCTTTTTCAGCAAGCAGTGTTTCTCAACTTTGTGCAAGCTCTTGAGCAGCACAAACTCCTGAGCTAAGAGCCACTCCACTCTGTTTGCAGTTGAGGGCAAAGGCTGAGATCCTTGGGCACAACTCCAAATGCCTTTTCCAGAAGTCTGGGGTGACAGAAAAAAAAGCATTAATTAATTAATTGATTTTGAGACAGAGCCTCACTTTGTCACTTAGGCTGGAGTACAACGGTGCCATCTCAGCTCACTGCAACCTCCACCTCCTGGGTATGAGCTATCCTCCTGTGTCAGTCTCCCAAGTAGCTGGGATTACAGGTATGCACTTGAGGTTAGAAGTTCAAGACCAGCCTGGCCAACATGGTGAAACCCCATCTCTACTAAAAATACAAAAATTAACCAGGCATGGTGGCTGGTGCCTGTAATCCCAGGAACTCGGGGGAGTCTGAGGCATGAGAATTGCTTCAACCCAGGAGGCAGAGGTTGCAGTGAGCTGAGATCGCTCCACTGCACTCCAGCATGGGGGATAGAGCAACCCTCTGTCTTAAGAAAAAAAAAAAAAAAAAGGAGAATTGGAAAGTTGTATCTAGAGGCATTCAATGAACTTTGATGTTAAGACACAAGGAAAGGGAAATAATGGAGAGTGAAGAAAAGCCAGACTTCAAGAGTTTAGCTGATGTTTTCATCAGAGATAATGTTTCTTGGACTCTTCCCCATTAAAAAAGTGGCCAGGTATAGACTCACTCTTGTAATCCTAACACTTTGGGAAGCCAAGGCAGGAGGATCGCTTGTGGCCAGAGAGTTCAAGACGAGGCTGGGCAGCATAGCAAAACTCTATTGCTCCAAAATTGATTTTTTTTTTTTTTTCAGATTAGCCAGGTGCAGTGCTGCACACACACCTGTAGTCCCAGCTACTTTGTGGGCTCAGGTGTGAGGATCACTTGAGCCTAGGAGGTGGAGGTTGCAGTGAGCCAAGATCTCACCACTGCATTCCAGCCTAAGTGACAGAGCCAGACCCTGTCTCTAAAAAAATTTTTTTTAATTGCCCTTGGAATTATGATTCATATATACTCCCTATGGTTTCCAGGATATCAAGAAGAAAAAAGGAGGCAGAAAGAGAGAAGAAAAGGAAAAATTGAGCAAGAATGGAAGAAGGGCGGGGCGCAGTGTCTCACACCTGTAATCCCAGCACTTTGAAAGGCCTAGGGGGAGATCATCTGAAGTCAGGAGTTTGATACCTGCCTGGCCAACATGGTGAA